GAGAGAGAGAGAGAGAGAGAGAGAGAGAGAGAGAGAGAGAGAGAGAGAGAGAGAGAGAGAGAGAGAGAGAGAGAGAGAGAGAGAGAACGTTTCAAAAATCGACAATCATGTGCCATACTGGTGGCTTAGAAGTCCCCTTAACAAATAGCTGAATCCGAAAAGGACGGAAATAGAAGCGCCTCCCAAGGTGCTTGATCTCAGCACAGGGACTCGATCCCGCACCTAGCACCTAGGACCACACCCCACACCCATCACACTTCACACCTCACAGCTCTCAGTTTCCAGTGCTTGATCCCAATCTACTCCTGTTGCAATAGCGGGATGGACTGTACAAAGGGCCCTCGACGTTTGCTAGTCTTGATCACCATGTAATTTAGTAGTAGATGGAGTCTTCAATGTGAGGCCTCAGATGTGGATTATACTATCATTACATTGGACTCGCAAATGTGGTTCCTCCATCGTCCTCTCTATCCCACCCCTCCTCCTCCACCGTCATCAAAGTGTGAGCGCTTGCCACAATGTGACAATGTGAGAGCAAGAGAGTGTAGGTGACTACCGCGCACCGGGTAGGACAAATGTCGAACCCTGATGATAACAACTGTGGCAAAGAAAGGAAAATAAAAGGTAGCACGTACTGCATCGTGCCGAATATGGGATGAATGACGGTGCCCTTTCCAATGCCCTTTATACTAGCATTGGACACTGTGGTCTGTGCTTCTTGCAATAGACAATCTCACCATCTTCCGCACAAACGAATTGGCAAACACAGCAGAGCGGAGACGAGGAGATGGTGAATGGAGTGAATAGCACAAAGCATGGGCGCTCCCACTGCAGGGAAAGTAATGCACACTGTGCATGATGAATCAGCAGGAATCCAGCATTCGTTCAATGCTATCCGCCTCCGAGTCGAGGAACACTGTATCCAGGTCGTTGTATTGCTGGGCCCAGGAGAGCGATCCGTCTCCCCCAGATAATACTGCCGAGACAGGGACAGATGCTAAGCGGTTGCTCTCCAGGCAGTCATTACCCTTCCTGAATGTGTCGGCATGAGAAACGGAAGTCATGGCGGAGGGGGGACCCCCATAGCGCAGGGCAGAGGCCCCAGCAACACCACACACGTCACCAGTTTCCACCCTCTTACGGAGTGGTGGGACTGCAGCTTCCCCTAATGGTGGTGTCGCGTCCCTCATGCCATTGGTCTGCAACAGTGAGGAAGAACAAAACCGATAGTGGTGCTGTTGCTGCTCCTGCTGTGGGTGAGCATGCCCACTAAACCCGACTGCCAACCTCCGCCCATTGGTGGGTTGGGTGTGGATGCCAACAGTCGTGGGCATTCTCATCTGCAGTCGGGAGGTCTGAGTTAAGGGTGATGAAGTCTCCACTGCCGCAGAAGAAGCGCAGGGATGCGTAGAGCCATATGCAGCGTCCATGTAGCGGCTTCCCACACCACCAACCCTCAGGCCGCTGATCATCGCCTTCGACGGCTCGACCTGCATGCCATCACTGAAACCGGGATCTGAATCAGAGCCCATTGATGCAGCCGTATCCTGGTCAGGATCGGAGTTTGGACAGCTGATCCTCACCTGGGGTTGCGACCTACGGTGACCGGATCTGGATTGGGGCTGACAGCCAAGATCTGCACATGTTACCCTAGAGACCATCTCCTCATCATCTCTGTCTCCCTCCAATTGGCCCAGCAAAACATGGCGAGCATCCCTAGCAATCAATCCTCTCACCTGCTCATGATGTTGCTGTTGCTGTTGCTGTTGCTGTTGCTGATGCTGATGCTGATGCTGCTGCTGCTGCTGCCGAGGGTCATGAGAAGGAAGAGTTACCGGCTGAGGACCGGAAAGGAAACCACTCATGCCCGCTCCCGTGCTTCCTGGCCATGCTCGAGTACCGGAGGGGACCACGCCAATACCACCGAAGTCCCAGTCCATGATTGCCTTGGAGTCTATCACCTCAGCTGTCTCCTCTTCATCATCCTCTTCCTCTGCTTCCTCCTCTTCCTCCTCTTCATCATCAACCTGCACATCCGTCCTGTTTTCCCCTATTTCCTGTGGTGCAGCTTGAAAGTCTTGCCGGGAAGGAACCACAGCATTCAACGAGGCTAGTTCAGGGCCTGTTGTAGGCCCACCTGCCATCATCAAAAGTGCCTGATCAGGCCTGCCAGCCATCATGATGGCCATGGTCGCTGCTGCACACCCCATGCCACTGCTCGCTAGTCCTCCAAACTGCCGCATTGTTGTTGTACCAAAATCTGCAGATCCATTTCAGACCCAGAATTGGTCAGAGTGTCTAATGCTCGCAAACCCAAAGACAAAAATATAAAACAGCAATGACACGAATTGGTCATGGCACATACAAAATGATGTCTTTCTGTCTATCTGCATTTTTCAGGGTGCAGATTATCTACTGCATTGCCTGCAAGCATCCACTCCTCTCTCAGACTCTCTCTCTCTCTCTCTCTCTCTCTCTCTCTCTCTCTCTCTC